ATTCTCTTCCTAAGACTAAAAAAGTTTTAATTAGTGAGCAGTAGGTAGACAGAAAATTGGAATAAAAATATAAGGAAAATGTTGCCTACAGTGAGAAGAGACACTTAGACTAGAGAAATCATGGGTCAAGGAATTTGACCTGATGTGTGGATATACCCTGGAGGTGTACAGCTAAGAATGCTCATTAAGACATGTTTCTGCTGTGAAACTAAAGAAATCAAGGGGTGTCAAGTCTGTAAATCGTTGGTCAGGAAGAGCCAAACCAGTGACCCCAACAGCTATAGCTACCCTAAAACTAATTAGAAGGAATAGACAAGGAAACATCTAAGATGAATAGTGAAGGGAAAAGCTTCAACAATGAAATGCAGACTAGCAGTGTCTAAACTTCACATTTTTTTTTAAATTTGCCAATGGGGAAGAGCATGTTTGATGTCATTGTCTAAGGAAAAAGAACCTTTCCCAGTTGATAACCTTTTGTTCCAGATGTAGGAACTCTGCATAATTATATTGGAGTCTAAATTAACAGATGTAAGTACAAGTCAAACAAAGGCTGTCCTAAATGTACAAGAAGTCTGGAGGGCCATCCCAAGGAAAGGAGAGGGTATTCTCAATACAGATTTAATGGCATAACACTGGAACTTACTATCTGTCCTGAAGAATGCAAATTCTCCCTTCACAAAACTAGAAAGAATTTTGTCTATCCTGTCAGACATGGTTTCTGTATTGAATGTTTCTGCTTACTTTCTCTTCTTTGGCACAAGGGAGAATTCAGTTGGAGAAAAATGTGGAGAATTGAAATAACTGTGACATAAAAACAAAATGCTCCCAAATCTTTCATACAAGATGAAGTCTGGCAGGGTACATTGGAATTATAACCACCTTATTCCCAGAAGCCATGCCCTCTAAGTGCAGCACAAAATTCCACTCTTTTTTTTTTTGCCATAGCACTCTACTAATCATATTCAGCTTGTAGTCCACTAAAACCTTCAGATCATTTTCAGAATTGCTTATCTCACCATTCCTCTCCCTTCTTGTACTTGTATGGTTGATTTTTTTTTATACCCAAGTGTAAGACTTTGAATTCATACCTATTGAATTTAATCATATTAGACTCAACCCAGTGCTCTTGCATGTCAAGATCTTTTGGGTTTTGATTTTGTCATCCAGCATACTAGATATCCTCTTCCCTCCTAACTTTGTATCATTCGATCTATGCCTTCATTCAAATCACTAATAAGACACTTAAATAGCACAAGGTCAAGCACAGATAGACTATGTATACTATACATAGTATATTTTCATATCTATAATATGTATGGGATAGCTATTATATATTCTATCATATATTTCATATAATATAGCATAGATATAGAATATATATTATATATGCATGTAGATCCTCATAAGTCAAACAAACACAGAGTCTATCTGGGCATATACATATATTGTTGTTATAGAGTATATAATATATATGTTAATTATCTGCCACTAAAGGCCTAAGCTGACACCATGAAAACGAATTTGATTTCATCCTATTCTCCATCTATGATCGTTGACTACATAGTATAGAATAAATAGCACGGCAAACTCAACCAGGAGAGATAAAAAGCTACTTCCACTAATAATGGAAGGGCACTGAAAAGGCTCCATGAAAACAATCCAGCTGTGTGAGGCCTTTGTTACTTAAATTCATTTAAAAAAATGTAGCAGACTTTTGTTCTGTATCCCATATCAGAACTGAATTATGTTCTTTCTGGAAACTTACATTCTCTTCCTCCTAAGCCTGTCCCTTCAGGTCACCTTCATTCTTCTTCTTTTAACATTTTCTATGTAACAAAAAACAACTTTGTACAACATTTAAATAAACATTTTTTTAAAGTCCTGTGATGTCAATGGCTACCTTTTAGAATCCATGAGTGACTTTCTTTCTCAACCCAAACCTTAGAGTGGGGGGAAAAACTGCAATTTTCTAGTCCATAATAATCAGATTTTACAATGGAAAAAGAACAGGAGAAAAGAAAGCCTATGCAGGGAACATTTTTAAAAGCAAGGAAAAAGGCAGAAGAAAGAATTGACTGGACAATCATTAACTAAAGATACCATATTCCCTTTTATCATCTTGAGCAGCTATTTCACGATCTTTCCTCTTGTATGAATGAATAGCATTTTGGATGAAACAAAATATTTGATCTTTCCAAAGTCAAAAATTTCCCTTATACTATACCCATTTAATATTCTAGAAGTTTTTTCCTTCCTTTTGAAGAAATACAAGTTTGACATTCTAAAGGCATTTGGGTTTAAATCCAACAGGAAGATTTTTGGAGAGCACTGGGTGAAGGATTGACTTGCCCCTGTGGTTCAAGAGCTCAATTATTGGTGGGACTTCTCTAGTGACAGCATCTCTATTCTACCTTTTAACCTTCATCTAAATACTCTCCTTTCCTCTAATTATGACAAAGTTCAAGTTCCTGCCACACACTGGAAAAGTTGTATAAGAGCTTTTTTCCCTTTTGTTCATGGATTTTAAACATTTGGCTAAGCCCAAAAATAGAACAAAATGCCATCTTTTCTGCACACATAAATTTTTTCAAAAAAAACAAGAAGTATCCATTAATGAAGAAGTCAGCTCTCTCAAGTAATGGACAGGTATCTGGTAAGTATATTAATTTTTCCCTTTCCCCATTCTTTCCTTCTTCCCTTCCTTCCTTCTTTCTTTTTTCCTTCCTTCCTGCCTTCTTTCCTGCTTTTTTCTTCCTCTATTTTTTCTTTCTTCCTTCCTTTCATCCTTCTGTCTTTTCTTTCTTTTCTTTTTTCCTCTTTTCTTTTCCTTTCTTCCCTCCTTCCCTTTTACCATCAAGCAATAGGTTTAAACATTTTGGATAATATTCATAATAATAACATTTCTAAACTTAGAATGATTTCTCTCAACATGAAAAAAAATAATCATCCCCCCACAGAATTAATAAACTGAAGAAGTAGTATCAGACACATCTGAGAAAATAACCTGTATTTAGCTTATGCAATGAGGACTCCTGGGGGAAAAAGGTTATTAAACATAAGTTTGAAATTAAGAGTCATGGATTTGAAATTAAAGTAGCTAGTTTTGAAATCCAGTTCTGCTCTTTGCTAACTGTGATTTTGCACAAGTCACTTTACCACTCTAGACCTCAGTTTTTTCCATCTGTAAAATGAGGAGGTTAGTTTAATGCTAATACTCATTCTAGCCCTAAATCCTATGATGGACTGGGGTTTTTTTCATTGATAATTTGAACAATAATTTCCCAAACCATTCTATTTCTTTTTATCTTAGCATAGGTTTTGCCAATTAGAAAAGGGAAGAAACAAATCAGAAAGAATTACAGAAAGAATTAAAGTGAGCAAGAAAGTGATTTTCAACCATGACAAGACAGGACAAGAATAGGGTAATGTTGACTAGTCTCCATCAAAAGCTAAAATATCACAAGGTCATTTTGCTTTATTCTATATGTTATTAGTGTTTCTTCCTGACAGAAAAATGCTTTAGTTCAAAACCTTAGATTTTACTTATTAATGACTATAAAAGCAAGGCCTGGAAAACCTTCAGAAGTGTCTGCTGAGTCTGCAGTTACTCTGAGTAACTTTAGCCTTTGACACATTCAGAAAAGGCACTCTCTATTCCCCTGTTAGGGTTCAAAGGAAATGCATATGCTCACTATGGACTGAATATTTCAAAATTCACCATAATCGAAAGAAATATAGCTTTCAACTTGCATTCACTTTTGAAGGTCTGTTATCTAAAGAAAGTATATTCTTATGAAAGTAGTTTAACAACTAAGATGGTCTTCCTAAAAATTTGTTCTTTCTAAAGATCCCCGAATATCTGGTGACCGGGACAATCTGATATTATTATACAATCTTTACCTTTGACATTGGACAAATCCAAATCTGACAATGAAATTTGAAAGCAGAATCTTATGACTCAGCACCCAAAACTGATAGTGTAAGATATTCAACATGTGAATAATCCAAGTCATAGAAAGAATATATCACAGTTCCCTACTTATAGTACAATGTGTTTTGAGTACTTACAGCAAGTGTGATAGAAACTATGCTCAAATTAACCTCAAAAAGAAGCCTCAATGATACTTTTATTGTGGGAATTTTTTTTATAATCTTAGTCTGGAATGAGTCTTATTAGGTATTGCTCTAAACTCTAAGTTATAGATAGATAGAAACTTGATTTGAGAGGAGTTTCTCCACTAGGAGTTCTGAAGCTGATGAAATTCTAGGTCCTTAATACATTGAGGTCTACTAGAGCAAAGTTAAGGAAATGGGCTACCAGAAAAGGTAAATACCAATTATTTTTGCTTATATAGAAACCTTGCCACAGCTTCCCCATAGTGGGGAAGGAGGGACACAAAGAAAGTAACAAAAGAAGCTAAGAAAATGGATGTGGCTCAAGCAGTGGCGAGCCCTCCTGCCACAAAGATTCAAGGCTCCAGGTGGCATAGCCTAGAATATTTTTCTCTATTAGAAATGTGGGAGAAAATTCTGAACTCCATATATTAGATAGAAGTCTGTCAGAAACATTTTTTTTAATTTAGATTAAACTAATTCTAAACATTTCTGTTTAGAGATGTAGAAAGACATTCAGAGTTACCTCATGCCTTCAAAAGTGTAACACAAGCAATGTTGGAGTACAATTTACAATACATTTTATAATTATTTTATATAATTTATACATAATTGTAATTTCATCATAACTATAATCTATAATATTCTCCAACAATAGACAAAATTCCACAGTCAAGATTTAGCAAGGGTTCACAATTCAGGTAACATTCTTAGAATAATAGTAACAACGTACCCTTGAATCATTTTCCTAAAAACATTCAATCTCCATTTGTCTTTGAATCCTCTCCTAAGGGATTCTCCTTTCCATATGATCAAAGGTGAACTTAAGATGCTTCCATTACCTGAAGTGATCAAAGATTTCTTCCTTCTCTTTCTCTGATCATTACCTTAGTATGGTCAAAGCATGGGCAAAGATAGTACTTTCCTTAAGTGGATCAACCAAGGGCTTCTTCTACTAGTTCGGTCACTGCTCCAACTCCACCCTCAGGGGAACAGTTCAGCTGTGAACTTCACCCTGGATTCCAGTAGTTAGGCCTTAGACAAGAAGGAAAAGTATTTAGCATGAGACACTGTTTCAGAACTGATAGTTAAAGAAAGACTAATAAGAGTTTCTTCTGATGGGACTAAGGATTTTAAACTACCTAATATTATTTTGTAATATATAGCCTAAAGAATGACTTTGTGTGTGTTGTGTTGGGGAAGGGGAGGGTTTGCTCATTACATTTCTATAGAAGTGGTGAGAAATATGCATAATTCTTTTTATACCTTTCATGACTGTACCCAAGAAACTGTTTCCTTAGGATGGTAGGATTCATACAGGAAAAGAATCTCTCACCAATTCTCTTCCTATAAAGTCACATTCTTTGTTTTCCATAAGGTAGAAAGTATACAAAATGCCTAATTCATACCAAGATAGACAGAGACATAAGAAGATGCAAGAGAATATTTGCTGTGGTCTGATGGCCTGAGAGTTGTCACTAAAACAGTTCCTGATCTAAAATAGCCACATCACAAAACACCACAGTTCAAAAACACACACACACACACACACACACACACACACACACACACACACACACTGCTACTCTACCTAGCAGTATGGAGGTTGGAGGTAGGAAAGAAGAGTTGAACTGGAGCATTTCCCATGGAGCTGAGCATGTACCGTGGCCCCTTCTGGTGAGATAAGTGCTATGGCCCCTTACTAAAGGATTAGTCATTGAGCCAAGAACTGCCTACTTCCATCTTTTGAGCACTTTCCTTTGCGACTCTGCTAGCCCTCCTTTAGATTTGTAAGGAGGTGTGTGGGATTTCTTTCCCTTCCTACATCCCCTCTCCACCAGCCCCAAATCCTCAGCATCAATGGCAGCTATAATTCAAGCAGATTCTCACTATCATGTGCTTGAGAGGAGGGGAAAGGGGAGAAATTCCTCCCCTCATCACCACCAATAGGAAGTTAAAAAAAAAAGAGTTGATATAGTCCCAAAGCAATATACTGAAAAGAAGGAAGAAGTTTTCACCTTATTCTCTTATATATACTATTGAGTGAGTAGCTTTTCCTCTATCAGTCACCAACTATTTTAGAAGCAATCCCTGCCCCAGGTCATGGAGATCAAGGACCAAACCAGGAGTCACTGGTTACCTGTTTTGTTTTTGTTTTTCATTTATTTTTTAGTAACGGGGCAAAGCACATGTTTATCATCAGAGGGGCCAGAGTGCATGCCCACTTCCACAGGTAATGTTCAAAAGACAAGTAGGTTTTAATGTGGGTAAAAGGAGGAAGGGAGTAGGAAAATTCCGGAGCATGAGGAGACATGGAGAGGGAGGTGTCACAGTAAGGCAGCAGGAGAGGACTTCAGGGAGCACATATGCAGGAAAACGGAGAGGAAGAGATGAAAGGTAGGGTAGAGGTATTTTTAAAGGAGTAGAAAAGGAGAACAAGAGACAAACTTTCAACTACTTCATTATTTTTCTGAGCATTAAGCATTAATAGCTTACTGTTCAAACCAAGATTTCAAGCACAGACATTCCCCCAACTTTTCATAGCAAGCATTTTTTTAAACCACACCATAAAGCAGATTATTATAAAGTAGATTGGATTTTCCCAAAGGAGTCACATTGTAAATGGGAGTTGAGTATATTTCCAAGGATTCAACATCAAATAAGTAATAGCTATGATGAATAATGTCATAAAAGCAAAGATTCATGAGTTATAAACCCCCATGATTATTTAAAATTATAAAAATTGTGTGGCAAGTAAGTCCCACAAAATAAGCATAAATGTACTATTTGATTTTTTATGAAAGAGGCTTCAACATACACTTGGCATACAAAAATTACAATGATAGTAGCAACTCACCCAAGAAAGAGTTAGTGTCAATGATGATTTAAATAATACCAGGACAGAAAAAGAACAATCACTTCCAGGGGAAGAAAGAAGATCCAAATTGGAATCCACAAGTACATAAAACAAAAAGCCACAGTTGAGCATGAGGGTTCCTTTGGAATGCCAAAAACCTAAGAAGTTAGGGAAAACTGGTTGCTGAAATGATAATTGAGGTTAGGAAGTCAGTACTGTATAAAGGCGCATGTAGGGCATGTCAGATGAAAAGACTGCCCAACTCAACCTATGTCCCAAAGTTTTGGTTTTTTAATAATAGCTCATGCCTGCACAACATGTGGCCCGAGGCATACTTGCAACTAGCCACTGTGTAGTTTCTCCTGTTTGTCACATGACCCTCAGCAACCAACCAGAGGCAGTCTATCCCTAGTTACCTTTACTTGGGAAGTGAGCCACTAAAAACTTATCTGCATCCTGAAGAAGTTTAGCCTGTTTTAATTTTGACCTCCCACCTATTGCCAAGTTGTGCAGGTCTGTAGCAGTTGCTTGTATTCCCTACTCACACCTTGAAATGACATGCTATTTTGATCCAAAGTACATAGTCTTCTGACTTAGCCATGCCAATAAAGCCATTAAGTCAGCCGCCATCCTTCTCTATAGAATGTCTTTCCAGACCTCAAAGACATGAATTGATAGGATGGCCTTAGTAAAAGTCTCTACTAATTGGAAAGTATACAGATTATGGAATGGCTACCAGCGGATGGCCCCTGCTAGACTCTTCCCTTAGTTAAATACTTGCCATACTCAGAAAATCAGATGGATTGCATTTGGCCCATTTCTCCATACCACCAACCCTGGGGCTCAAGTATTGTTCATTCAAGGGCTTACCCCAATGCCTTGCACTATAGGATATAGAATAGTCCATGTGGCATAATGGTACAATTCTCAAACAGTTCAAAAATATTAAGAATATTTGAGGGAGGGGGGCAAAACATCACAATTACCCACAAATGCAATTATTTGCAAATTCAACAAATAACATTTTGCAAAGCTTATCAAAAGTTACTACTTGCTTAGTCCTTAGTCTTTAGCCCTTCTCTACCAACTGCCTTGCATTCTCTCTCACTTTCTAGCTCACCTTTGTTTTGTCTTCCCTTACTGGAATATAAACTCCTTGAGATGTTGTTTTCATTCATTTGTGTCCCCAGTGTTTAGCACAATGCCTGATACAAAGTGAACACTTTTAACAAATTATCTGTCTATCTAAACAGCTTGCCCTAACTCAAGAAAATGGGGAAAGGGAAAAGAAAAAGTGGAAAATTGGAGTAAAATAAAAAACAAAAGTGAAAAAGAGAGAAAAGGCAAAGGAAAACTAACTAAAACTTCTTCTATCACAGACCAAAAAAAAATTGTAAGGTCGATAAGTTCCCAAAATGTGTGGGGCTCTCCACAGATAGATTAGGGACCTGAGATTGATTGAAAGTTCATCCCTGAGAGATCATACTGTCCTGAGTGAAAATTTTTCAATGTATCTTTTTAGCACATGGGGTGATCTAAGTAGAGACCAGATAAAACATTTCTAGGAGTCCCTTTAACATAGAGGGACCACCAAAATTTCTCCAGAGATCCCAGTATACATAGGGCAAGACCACTGGAGGTTCAGGAAAAAAAAAAATTTCCCCTGAGGTCTCTGCCCCATAGGGTACTTCAAATTTCCCCCAATGGATCCTTGTCAGTGTGTAAAGCAATCCAAATGACAACACAAGCAAGATTTGTTCAAAAAGAGGGAAAACAAATTCAGATGAGCCATAAACAAATACAGGATTGTCTAAAGGCATTAAGCACTCAGGGCTGACTGAAATCAATACCCAGCAAATAGTAGGCACTTAATAAATGCTTATTGATTAATAAGCCCCTCAGATGAGTTCTCACATCGAACCACTACTGGGCCCACTAGAGATGCAGACCCATTTCCTGAGCAATTCCTAGACACGCTGTTTGGACAAGGTTTAATTTCAGTATCTAAAAAATAAAGTTAGGCTTCCTTTTCTGGTGTGCTTTGGCTCATTAAATGACTTCTTCAGAACTCAAGGGATGATTTTATTTATGATTTAGTTTAATAGCTCATACATTTTTTCCAAAAGGAAAAAAAAGGAATTGATTTTTTTATATTAATTAGATATGGAACGGGCAATATATTCCTTCGTGTAAAGGAAATGCTAGGCATAGAAGACAATAGGCATTAACAGATTAATGTTACAATCTTCTGGAAGGTTGATACTTAAACTTCATCAGAATATAAAGCGGTTTGTAAGACTGCTAATTAAACCCTTTATATTTCACTTCTGCTCAGCACTGCCCAAACAACTCTTGGTACATGCTTGTTGTTAAAACAGCCAGGTTTGAGCCAGTGCTCTTCAGTGTACATCTTCTCCAATTCGGAAGCTTCCCCTGTTACCAACTAGCTCCAGTCTAAAGGGACCCACTGCCTCCATACTCCTTGAACTCACAAGATCAGACATCCATTCCCAAAAAATGATGTTCACTTGTGTCCCAAGGAAATGAAACACAAAGTAGAAAAGGCAGCCAGGTTCCCAGAAACAAGCACGTCCAATTAAATCTATGCTCCACAAGGAGAGAGAAAGGGAGAGGAGCAGGGGAATACAAGAACACAGATCTGGAGGTTTGATGCAAAAAGCCAAGTTGGAAGCTGCCCCTTCTTTTAACTGGCATAGCATTCTATCTCCTACTGTTGTCACAGGGAGGGGAGAACACCAAAAGAACATTTAGGGTTTGGCATATCACACCAAAATACTAGGTCTTCTCAGTGCTGGGTCACCACAGGGCTAGAAGAAGAAGGCCCCCAAATTTTTATACTTTCTGGAGGAAGGTCAATTCCAAGTACATGCTATAGAAGGGATCCCACTTTTATTTAAGCTTTTTGTATGCCAGTAAAGATGACCAGATGTCCATTGAAAAGTATTTCAGAATCACAGAAATAACAGGAGGCTTCTGAAACCATCTAGCTCATATCACCTAAATACAAACACTCCAACAAGTGGTCAGACAGCTTTGCTTTAAGACTTACACTACTTTCTGAGGCAGCCCATTCTACTGTGGGATTTTATATGTTAAGAAGATTTTTCCATACATCAAGGCTTAATTTGCTCTAGTACTGATTATTCTTAGCTCTGAA